ACAATAATTAACGAAAAATACAAGTATTATTGTGAAAAAAAGACGCTTTTTTTCACAATAATATTAGTATTTTTATACTGATATTATTATATGTCCATTAGCTATAATTGTTTACAATATAGTTTTAACATTTTAAATTTTTACAATAACATAGTGTTAATAATTACTTTTTTTTTTATTTACATTGATATTAAATTTATATATACAGAGTGATTTTTTATCATAACCCACTCAATTACTTGCAGAATATATATAATTTAAACATTTTTAGCTTCGATGCAAAGCTGAGAAGGTATTGGTTTTACTATGATGTGTTTTTTTTTTTTTGAGTCTGTTAGCACTATTTCTCAGCTCTCACCGAACCGATTTCTTTCAATGATACGTCAAAAGATCAAAAATCGTATCTAGTCGAAGACATTACCCTCAAAAATTGAAAATTTTTTACTCGTTCCCCGTAAACCTCCAAAAAAATTACAAATTTAAAAATCGCTAATTTTCGAAATTTATTCAATTTTTTTTATTAAAAACTGCCGTAACTTTTTCAAAAATGAACATATCAATATAACTTTTTTTTATATAGATGCATGATATCATTACCTTTTATTTGGTATATTTTTTTTTTATATGTGACTTACCCACACAGGGGGATTTAAAATGACAACTTTTTTACAAAGAATTAACTTTTTCAACTTGATTTTTTAAAATGTTCCGGAAGGTCTGACACTTTTATATATATCTTAAATTAAAGCTAATGTAATGTACTTTATCATAAAAAAAAATTTCGGACTTTATTTTATCGTCACGGTGAAAATAGCTACCGAATGTTATTATTGTGTGAAAATTCTCGATTTTATTTTTTACATTTTTAACTTTATAATGCTATGACATATTGAAAAGTGTATGAATCAACACAATTTTTTTATGAGAAATAATATTTTTTAATAATCCGTTTTTCTATCAACATACTTTATCTTAATTAGGATATTAATAATGAACTAGGAAATCATGTAGCTTTTGGAATAATCCACCATTTTTTTTAAATTAAACACTATCTAAAGATTTGCATCGAAGCGTTTTTTTTTATAGTGATTTTAATTACTGTCAGATATCATTATACTTGATCCAACTATGTCACGTCACCATTGTGCCGCGACCCCCTGTGCTGGTTTGGGTTTTTTTTTTTGGTTTTTTTTAGTTACACATTATTCTTGAATTACTAACTATGTAATACTTTTTAAGTTCATCTATTTTACCTTGTAAGGATGTCAACTTTGTTTTTTTAAATGGGAGTACATATTTTTAATTTAATAAAATGTTTGGATTTTTAATTCGATAGTAAATGGCTTTTTGTTGGGGGAAGAACAATCATAATGTTTATTACGCATATTAGTACCACAAGTAAGATATTTTTATATATATCATAGAAAGTATATTTTCATGTTAAAAGTCAAATATTAAATGGTGTTTCTAAAGCAAAAAATTGGAAATGAGATATTTTTTCAGTCATTCTGTAAATTTAGTTACAATTACTCATAAGAATTTACCAAATAGCCAATATTATATTAAAAGAATTTTTTATATCTGAGTATACTTAAAACACGTACGCAAAATTAATCGAATTAAATTTAAAATTAAAAATATATATATTATATTGTAAATACTATTATAAATAAACAAATATTATCATATACTATAATGTTAAAGTTATAATTAAAAAAGTGACGTTTAAATTTAAGCCAGTCAACGAAAGAGTAATTTTGGCGAATAGCGGAAAAAATTCTTAACCAAATTTTTTTTTTTAATTTAAATAAAGATATGTATAATGACATAAAAATTCTCTTTGATTGGAATTGAGCTTTTTTTTACAGCCTCGCAAAAGTTCAAAAATATGAACTTTTTTAATTTTCTCAAAAAATATTTAACTTGCAAAAAAAAGTTTCGTACAAAAGTTGTTTTAAAAGACAATTTAAAAAAGGTGTTTTAAATTTTTCCATTTAAACAAATATTTTTTGAGTTACATTACATTTAATATGAGTACTAAAATTTATTTTCCATTTTTTTCATTTTACAGTTACTTTTTATCATGTTATACTTACATTAGACACAATGTTGTAAATTTATATGTGTGTATGTGTGAGTTTATTTATTTATAGTATCTTTAAAGTGTAGTGTATATTAAGATACAACCGATAGAGTAGGTAATTGATATGACGCTATATTGTTTAAACTTAACTAAACGCTAAATTGTACATTCCAAAACAACAATTATACAGATTGATTTTTTTATCATAACCTACTCAATTACTTATAAAATAAATATAATTTAAACATTTTTTTTTTTTGGTTACCTTTAGTTACTCTTTATTCTTGAATTATTAACTATTTAAAACTTTTTATGTTCATCCCTTATGCCTTGTAAGGGTGTCAACTTTGTATTTTTAAATGGGAACACATATTTTGAATTAAATAAAATGTTTGGATTTTCAATTTATTAGTAAATGACATTTGAATTTTTAATATAACTTTATTAGTTTATTAGATATAAACATTTAAAGTTTAAAATTTTTGAGCTAATATACATGTATAATACACAAGAGATTACAAATACAGGTAATTAATTGGTTTTTTATGACATTGCTGTCACAGTCACGGATTGTTTATTATCAATTATCATTATCAATAGATATAATTTCTGTATTGCCAGTTAGTGTATTTATAAACTCACAACATTGTGCCTTACTACCATTGAATGCTGTTTACCTGCTAATATCGATGTCATAAAAAAACAATTAGCTACCTGCATTTGTAATCTCTTGTGTATAATACATGTATATTAACTAAAAAATTTGAAACTTTAAATGTTTATATCTAATAAACTAATAAAGTTATACTAAAAATTCAAAAGCCATTTACTATTGAATTAAAAATCCAAACATTTCATTAAATTAAAAATATGTGTTCCCATTAAAAAAAACAAAGTTGATACCCTTACAAGTCATAAGGGATGAACTTAAAAAGTATTTCATAGTTAATAATTTAAGAATAATGTGTAACTATATAGAATCAAAAAAAAATGTTTGAATTATTATTACTCTGTAAGTAATTGAGTTGGTTATGACAAAAAATCATCCTGTACAGTATGCGTCAGTAAATATGTAAGTGTAGTCTTGATATTTCTCGAATATTGCTTTCATATTGGCACTGTAAATAGAAGGCATTATGTCTTTTTATAAAATTTGGTTTACTCTGTGTTAATATTAATGTTTAAAGACCAAGGGGTTTGAAGTGATTTTTCAGATTTAATTATATATTCCAAATGAATATGTTTTTCAGATGCTTTTCTTTTGAGGTTTTCAATGAAGTGTAGTCCTGGGTTTTCGGTCTGTCGTATCATTTTTGCTATGTATATTAACTCAATTTCTGAAGTTTCAATTTCTAGTGGAGGTATATTTATTATATTGTACATGCTCTCCACTGGGCTAGTTCTGAATGCTCCTAAAATCATTCTAATACCATTGTTATAAATGGTGTTAATTATTTTCAAATTCGATTTACATGTGTTTTTATATATAATTATGCCATAACTTAATTTAGACATTATAAGTGATTTAAATATTTGTACATGTGTTGATGTTTGTGCACCCCATTTTTAATGAGATATAATTTTAAGAATGATTAAGTATGGTTGTAACTTTTCTTTCAAACATTTTATATGTACTCCTATCGTCATTTTTTAGTGAAGTTCGATACCTAGTATTTTGACTGATTTTACTTGTGGTAATTCTTTATTATTAAGTAGAACTTTTAACGGAGTTGTTTTTCTTTTTTTTGTGAATAGAATACAGTTTGATTTTTGGGGGGAAAAATGAATCCACTTTTCATAGAACATTCTTGTAGCTTATTTGCTGCTTCTTGTAGAATTTTTTGAACTGTGTTTTGATTGGTGCTGTCCCACATGAAGTTGAAATCGTCTGCAAATAGTATATACTTGACTGGAGGTTTAATTTTTTTATTGCTATTGGAAAGAGAGTGACAGAAAAGACTGATCCTTGAAGTACCCCATTTTGAAATTCATATACATCTGATGTTGCGTTATTATTTTTTACTTGAAAGGTTCTGTTATTCAAAAAATCTACAATGATATTGTACATGTTACCTTTTACTAGCACTTTGCTTAATTCCCTTAGTATCTGGTATCTCCAAGTTCATTATTGTTTTAAGCTTATTTTAAAAATTATTTTTAACTTTTTAGTTCGATATGCTTTAAAGCGTGTTATTCAGTTTTTTAAACTATATTTATTTTTCAATTTTTAGTTTTTTTATGACAGCGCTGTAACAGTCACGGAGTATTTATTTTCAATTATCATTATCAATAGATATCATTGCTGTATTGCCAGTTAGTGTGTTTATAAACTCACAACAATGTGTCTTATGACCATTGATAATAAAGGCTATATAATCTCCGAATATCGTCATAAAAAAACAATTAGCTACCTGTATTAGTATTCCCTTATATATTATATATTATGTACGAGTACGAAAACTAAAAATAAAATTATACAGGAATAGTGTTTGTCGGCGAGTGGTGAGCGAGGTGTGGTCGACGGAGTTGAGGGAATGTGTACGACAGTCTAGTCTCAAAGCCATAGACGACGGGATACGCAAGAATAATAACACGTAAGCGTGGAGAGTTACAAACATACATACAGGTGAAACTAATATAAGCTTGCCAATAATATTATACACATCTCTAGGCTAAAGTTTTTAACAGAATCTATATTATATAAATTGCACCCGGTATAGTAACCATGCTAATTTAATGAAATTATTCTTAAAAAATTAAAGCTATTAGTTTAAGTTATAAGTAATAAATCATCACATTTTAAATTTACTTAACTGAAAATTATAATTTAAAAATAATTTCTGACAACATTTTTTTATTTAAAAACATATTTAGTATATATTAAAGCAATCTTAACTGAAAATATGATTAACACAACTTGTATTTCAAATCAATAAAATTTAATATTTGAAAATGTATAATAATTATTTATTTTCTTTTGGTTGGATTTGCATTATTCTCAATTTTAAATTTGTAAACTCCAAAGATAAAGTTTCTAAGTTAAACTTATTTCTAAAAAACGTTAATTGGCTACAATTAAGAAAAAATTTACATATTATTGATGGAAGTCATGGAGAAATCACCTTTGACCAATTGATTAATGGAATTACTAGAAGTAATTTTGTTACATCTGAAAATGTGAACGATAAAGCGAGACAGTTTTATTTGTTTTTAAGTTGCAATCTTTCTAAGACACTAAGAGAACATACAGACTATGTAAAAATATTATGGACAGAATGTAAAAAATATCCTGACACAAAAAAAGGTTGTAAGGATTTTATAGTAAGAGAATTTATTGCTTTTACAAACTTTATTGCAGATTGGCCGGCTGCATTTTCTTCTTTTTCAAATTACACTGAAATGGAACTTAAAAATAACATTAATTCTTATGTAGACATAGTGTATTATTTAGCTTCAT